CGCCCGAATTTGCATCCGCCGGTACCTCCATCTCTTTGTCCGTCTACCCCTTTTTCACTCGGCCGCCCATCACGCGGTCTTTTCACAAGTCGGTGCCTTCGTTGCACGGATCGTTGGTTATTAGATTCGTGGTTTGTGCGCTCTTGCATGTCGCCGTCCATGCTCGTATGTTTCCATTCATTCTATTCATTCCAAACACACGCACACTTTGAATATATATGTAAAGCGGTCAGTATTCAAGAGTCTTTTCTAGTTACCTCAGTATGGTCTTATAAACGCCCAATAAAACTTGAACTACAAATTCTGAGCAACATTTTAAGCCCATGTACTTGAAATTTTGAATTGCAATGGATCTAATTTGAAATTTAGATCTGTTTGGATTTATGTCAGAAAACTGCATTTTGTTGATTTTGAAAGTCAGACAACAAGACTATCAATGCGCAAAATGTTGTTAGAATTTCTTTGATAGTTATCTGGTTTGCCAATTTGCTTATACGAAGTTGCAAGCGGAATACAGTTTTCTTTTTTGTGTACGACTATTTTCTATTGGCAAATATTTAAGTTAAACTGAATCAATGGATTTTTTTTTTTTTTTTTTTTTGCATCATTTTGCGAAATTTTAACTTGATTGCATTACCATCAATAAATGCTTTTTAGACTCATACAGATTTATCAAGTTGTATGAAACATTTGTTGAAAGCATGTTTTTCCCAAAAATTTTTTACACTTGCAACAAAGTTGCAACGAAGGAAACTAAAAAAAAAAAAAAAAAAAGGGAAAATTACTTCTTTTGCTTAATAATAATTATGCACTGAAAGCAAATATTTTGTAAAATTTTAATAAAAATTTTTTTGTAAATGATTTGCATACCTATAGGTAATCCATAATTTTTTATGATCCCTTAATGAATATGGTAGTGTTTTCATTTTTCATATATCATAACAATTTTTCGAGTGTAAATTATTGTAAAGAGTGCCCGTAGATAACCAGTAATAACATTTATGGTAAATTTCTTGTTGCAACAGCGATTAGATTTGTAAATGTTTATGCACTGTAAACGTAGTTAGCTACTTGGTCATAAGCATAAAGTAATCAGAAAATTGTAAGAAAATGTTCAGATTGCCTGCCATAGGAAATAATAAATATGTGGAAATTGATTGTCTAATAAAATACAACAAATAAAATAAATAGCAACAGCACAACAAAACTATCGAATCGAATCGTATCGAATCGAATCTTATTGAAAAAAGAGTCAATAGTCGGAAAATCATAAGAGGTAAAAAGCTTTATCGTGAATCAATTCATATGAGTGAACTTGGCAAGCATTTCGTCAACATTTTCATATGGCTTTGGGAAACGTTTATATTCAATTTTAAATGAATGTATGTCTCTCCTATAGATTGTAGAATAATATCATTAATTCTTTATTTCCACTTTATCGGTTATTTCTCAATCGTACTAAACCGGATTTAAAAATGTATTTGTTAAGATCTTCTAAGTTTTCTCTTAATTTTTGCGACAAGAGAAGATGAATGATAAAATTATTTTAGAATTTTCCTAAACAAAATTATTTATGCTTTTTTTTTTTTTTTTGCAAATCCATTATTAATGAAGAGGAGAAATCTAGTATACTTCTGTTCACGTATGTAATATCAGAAATGCGGCAGTGTGATGTATGTTTGTTGTATAGTCTCAAGTGTGTGGAGTGTATGGAGGGAGTATGGTGAGGTTTTTTTTTTTTTTCTTTTTTTTTAAATTTTTTTTTGTAATGCTATGATCGAACATTAACAAGTTGTTGTGGAAGTAGCCGTACATACGTACGTATGGCATTAAGTGTAATGTTCTTGTTGTTTTAGTTTCTGACTTTAGTGGCTACTAAAATATATGACATGCACTTGTGTGTGTGTATGTTTATGCGGGTAAGTGAATTTATATGCTTTTGTGTAAAAACGAAAGGAAATGTAACATATGTACGTAAAGTAGGTCAGCGGTTATATAATGCGAAATAAAAATTTTTTTATTTCTTGTATATGATCTTTCGATTTGTGCAAGGGAGCTTAAATTTGGTTTATTGCCAAGCTTATGCATTTAATGGTTACTTGTAACTAAATTGTTTATTAACACGTTTAAACTTGATATATAACTAGAGAGAAAATTAAATATATATATATGTATATATATATATATATATAGTTAAGGTGAAGTGTCTTAAAATGCCAAAAACTATCTTCTAGACATTAACAATCAATTCGTCTTGGCATTGTTTTTTATTGCTACAAATATCAGATATTTAGTGTATTGGAAAGTGGTGTAAGTTAATTTTATTGCATTCTCAAACTTTAGAAACTAGCTGATAATAAATATCATTAGGGTAATAAATTATTACTTATATATTTATTGTGATATAAAAGGACCTCGTTACACTCTTTAGCTCCTATTCTCATATTATTGAACTTGTTGTACTTCCAAAATGAATAACTTATGCATTTATCTTTCGCATTGGTTAGTTTTAGAAGTGATTGGGACGCGTGCACGACAAAATTCATATTAATTCGAAATAATGTTGGGATTTAGAATAAAGATTTCAAAATGTTCTTATCAACAATCTTCCTTCAATTTATAAAAGAGATGTCGATCATCGTGAAACTTTGTGGCAATCTGTTGAATATATTCGAGTAGCAACGATTGAGACAGATTGCCTTTTGATAGTAGGCCTAAACAGCTTGCAACCAAGCCTTTAATAAAGTGAAAAGATCTTGACAAAAAAAAAAGGAGTTCATTTAATTTCTTTTTACACGATAGATATGTTTTCAAAAAATAGTGTAAAAAATTCGTGTAAAAAGAGATTCAAGCTTTCAAAATTTTATCTCTTCGAATTTTTCGCTTTAGTTTTATTATAATGTATATACATTTTCTAGCGCGGAAAACGAAGCCAACTTATTAGAAAAATTAAGAGCATTATAGTCTGGTCACGGCCATTAGGTACCTTATACCATTTCGTCTAATATAGTCACTCATTCATTTTCGCGATAATACACCAAAAATTACATCTTTTATAGAAAGGATTATGTGACGCGGTGTTCAAAAAATTGACCCATTTGATCCAAATTTTTCACATCCAGAATGACGAAACACTGTTGTGTTACAGTCTTACTATCGATTTTTGTGCCCAACGTTTGAAAATTATAATATTTTGTCGTCAAATAAAATAGGGGAATATATGGGAAGTTCTCCGAAACATTTTCAATAGCGTTCTGTAGGATGCAGGTGATAATAGACGAGCATCAAACGGACAGACAGACAGACAGACAGGCAGATAGACAAGCTTCTCCGAGTTGATCAGTATAATAAAAGGTACGCCTGTCTTAAGTCCTTCTGGGTACTATATAGCTATGCACAAGTTCAATATATACCACAAATGGTGTAGGGCATAAAGACACGATTTCAAAGTATTGCTCTCAATACTCTGCGAAACGCATAAAAAAAGAAACTTTTATTATTGAGGTATTAATATGATTTGTTGGTATTTTCCGAGTTGCAAAAAATGGAACCCAAAACAGTCGTAATTCTTCTTCTTCCAGTTTCATAGATTAATTAGTTTTTCTAATATAAAAATCAAAAAATTTTAAAATTTTTCTTTATGAACAGCTTTTAAGCGCCTATTGTTCTAACACCTAAATAAGTAATAGAATGACTTTTTATGCCCATCCCACTTGCATGCCCAGAATGTGTTTATAATATTACTACATGAGAGATATGTTTATCAATATTTTAGAGTGCTTGGTTAGTGTCTTTTGCAAAGTGATTCAAGTTGATCGAGAGAAATTTTTCAAAGAATACAAAACGGAAAAAGAAAAATATAGAGAAGAAGCTTACAATGGATACTTGAGGGTGTAATTCATCTTTTGCTGTGCATGCATATGTACTAAGGTTTTGCATGACAGTTTAATTGATAGACATGTAAAAGGTTTCTGGTACATAGTGTAAAATGTTTGCGAACCATGCATGATTGATGTATACATTTAATGTGTAATAATTCATTGAAAAGAATTATGGCATTTAAAGGACAAATTAAGAGATAACGTTAAAATTTATGAAATGCCTTCCTATATCTACCTATACATATATATATAGGTATATTATTTATATGGATTGGTTAAAAATTTAAGCAATTATATACATATGCAGTTGCCTAAAATATATTGAGCCGAGAAAAAGCAACAACATTAGAAGATTTAATATTTTTTGGAATTTTTCTATACGAATATGTAATTGTATATGTGTTAATGAGATATACATACAATATGCGAATGTCTGCTTATATGAAAGCATGCTTGACTTGCCGTAAGCAATGCCATAATAACTCACGCGACAAAACAAGTAATCGCACGAGAGCTTCTTGCCAATACAGTGCAAAACTGAAAGCGCAATATTCAACTCAAGTACGCTAATGAATATGAATATCAAAACGTTGGCTTTGTGCAGTTTTGCTTTAGACAAGCTTTTTATTTTTGTTTCTTTTTGTGTTGTTGTTGTTGTTGTTGTTGTTGTTTTTTTTTTTTTGATATGCAACAAGTAAAATGTATTTTGTTCAATATCTATGTCTTGAGCTAAAGTGTTGCAAATGTTGTCGATGTGTATGCATATGTATATGTGGGTATATATATATATATATATATATATATATATATGTGTTTAGACCGCAACTGTTGCAAGCAGCAATACGACAAACAGACATTTAGAATTACTCAATATCGTAAAATATTTGTAGAAAAATTATCAACTTTTGAAATGGAAAAGTTGAAAAGCAAGAGTTACTTGGTTAGTTACTATTAAGTTAACCAACTAACACAGCCACCAATATAATAAATAAATTCCATGAATTTCTTTGTAATGCATACTTAGCAAAGGTTAATGATTCTTATATTATTTACGTTTGTAATAATTAAGATTAGGCATCAATTTAAACAAATACATGAAATAGTTTTAGTTTTACTTACGATTTGCAATTCTGTCATATATTTTTTCCACCATAAATATTTTGCATATTCAGGACCCAAGGCCGACATCATGTAATAAAAATACATGCATACATGTACAAAATTATTTAAAATATTTGGAAATGTTGCATTGCCACCTAGAAAAAGAAAAAAAAAAAAAGGAAAGGAAAGAAAGGAAATGAAAAATTTCCATCAATTAATATGCATTGATAAGTTAAATATGATGCGTCGTTGACGCTATCCTGCTATTGTTACGTTATATGTTTTTAATACAACACTCACCGGCTATGAATTTAACTAAGACCCATGTCTCTAATGGTGTCAATGAATGATGATAAACATGCAGCCAAGTGATTTGTGAAGTTTTCTTACGCAGCACAAAGAATACCGTGTCGACGAATTCGGTTAATTTTGAAATATAGTAAACATAACATAGATTTAACATCTAAAAGTAAAGAATGAAAAATTATTAAATAAAAAAAAAAAAAAAAGAAAACGTGTCAATATATATATATGTATATAAACATATTTCGTAATATGCAAAACATTATGAAAATTTTTGGTAAATAAAAGTTAACCGCAACTTTTACAAATATTAAGATCTTGTGCGAGAACAAAATCTATCTTGTATTATTATTTAACAGCTAATATTAAACCACAAAATATTATTAACATTAAAGAATATTTGTTATGCTAATGTTTGCCATTTGTTCGTTGGATTTTTCCGTTACTGAAAGTTGCTTCATAATGGCTAAGTTATATTTACTTTACTTAGTTTAGGTTATGATAAGTGTTGTTGTTTCTGAAGTCTTTGTTAAGCAAAAAAAAAAAAAAAAAGAAAAAAAAATAGACAAATAATATCAATTTTAATAACATACGCATGTATGCATGTATGTATATGTGCATTAATTTTGAACTATAATTATTGTTATTATTGTTGTTCGATTAGTTAAAGTAAATAACTTTGTCCTTCAAAGCAATTCACGTCATAACGTATTGTGAAAACTTCTTCATATATATTTTTAAATGTAAAGTGCACTATAAACAATTAAAAGCAAATTAAAAGATCTATAAAAATACAAATATTAAAAATTAAATTGCCTACAACTTAGGGCAGAATGAAGAGAACTTAATAATAATATTGTTAATGTTAAAGTTAAAGTTCAATATTTAACCAATTTTATAAGGTAATTTTTATGTAACATTTGTATATAATAATATAATTATTTTACGGAAAATTATAATAATTACATGTAAGTAAGATTGATTTATAAGCTAAATATAACAAATTTTTAATTGCATTGATTAAGCAGCATTGGGAAGGGGAAAAACTATCTCAAACTTGCGTAAATTGCATTTGAAGGTAAAATAGTTTAGGAAAATTTTTTTGAAAAAATTTACTTTCGTGCTGGAAAACTTACAACAACAAATGCCAATTAAATGGGACTATGACAGAATTGCAGAATTATAAGATTCTATTCGACAACTTGGCTGAATTAAGGCAATTATTTAGGCAAAGAAATCTCCGTGATTCACATAAGTTTCGTAAGATGTCAATAGGCGCAGTGTTGTCTAGCTAGCTCGAACGTAATTTTCAATGCGTCAACATGCAGCATTCAATGTGTATATATATATGGGGTTGGCAACTAAGTAATTGCCGAAGTCTTTTAAAATACCAAAGATTATGACAAGAAGTGTATATATATAGTGAAGGGAAAGCGTAGTAGCAGAATAAGTAAAATTCGGCTAAAAAGCATTAAAGTGAAAAACGAAAAAACTAATGCATTATTAGGTGGGAGTAGGTGCTTTTTTCCATTTTGATAGAAATTGGAAATTGTGGATATTTTAAATGTGCATCTATAACGGCTTTTCTGAGTGCTGGCCAAATGATTCACCAACGAGATGGGTTCTTAGTTTCTTTTGCATCATAGGTGTGTTCTTTAACCGATTGCTTCCATTTTTATTACCAATCTGTGTGCAAGGAGAAAGGCGATATTTGAAATTTTGCGGCTGTCCGAACGTTTACCGCAGACGTAGTCAGAGAGACGGAAAGACGGATCGATTCAAAATTTGATGCTGATCACAAATCACAATACACATACTTTATGGGGTCTACGGAGCTTACTTATGGGTGCTGCAAACGTCTTTACATCGAAATCAAAAAATCATATCGTATTTTGCACTAGATGGTCAAGCGGTAGACGTATTACATCAGGCCACCGCATTATCGGATAAATTAAATTCAATTGCACTAAAATCAAGTTATGTCTTACTCAGGTAAAAGGGCTTCAATTAAACGGAAAGTAAATGTGAAACGGCACCATTACCCTACGTATGTTCTCATATGTCACTTATACGTTTTGACGTCTTGTTCAGCAATATTGTAGAAAGGAGATCTTAACTTCAAAAAGTTTACTTAATATACAAATGTATAAGAATTTGTAATTTTATGCAATTAAAGGGAGTTTTGTTGTTGTTGGGAAATCATTCACCCTTTATAATAATTCCATTAATATGTTACTTCTATAATTGCATTATAGTTTCATTTTATTGCAAATACTTATAAATTCATAAATTGACCTAACGAACTTTAATAAATTAATTGACGAAACGGAAAGCTATATAAGTGAATTTGTTAAGTAATTCATTCAAAGGAATCTTGTAATAGGTTATTACCATTTTTTTTTTTTTTTTTATTACGTGAATTGTATAATGGATTTAACAAATAATTATATTAAATGTTTTATATAAATGAAAAATTTAATTAATTTTTTTTTTTTTTACTGCTTATTGTTTTTTCGATTGTTTATTAAATTTTTACTTATGATAGGATTTTATTTTGAACTAATGCTTATAAAAATTATTTGATTAAGTGATGTGTTTGCATTTCAGAATGACTTGAAGACGAATTCCGCAGTGTTATACGCTTTTTAAAGGATTATAACCATAGTGAGTCTATAAAAATGAATATTTACATGAGACAAACAACTTATTAGAGCCTGTAAACGATCTAGAAAACTGCAGTGTTCCTGAATGAGAATATTCTAACTTTTTCAGATATTTTTTGCTATCTTTTTGCTAGGATTGAAATGTCATATAAATTTATTCTAATCTTAGCTACATTTTCAATCGTCTTCTTCTCCGCTGAATGATTGCTGGTTAGTTGCATTAGTCTGTCCGCCCACTAAGTCCGCCTTCCTCACTGTTTACCTTCGTCATGCTATTTTTTGTCTTGCATTTCTAGTAGACCCTCTCAATGTCTGTCCGCATGTCCGCTCATTACTCTATCATTATATTCACGCGCTTAGATCTGCCCGTACTTTCATCAGCGGACATCGCTTGCATGATCGTTTGCATGTCAGGCTATACGATCCCAATTGTTTTGGTTTATTTATGTACCCATAAGTCTCTCTGAAAAACTTTTAATAGAACACACTTAAATGTGGCTGAGTTAAAGGAAAATAAAAGAATAAATTTGAACAAGACATCAAAACGACCCGAAGCATACCACGAATGATTAAATAATTGTGCAGAGTTTACATCGTAGAACTAAGACGATAGGTTCATTTTTGCGGCAAGGAGAATATTTACAACAGACATTACACACAGACACGCATAGATACATAGCCGGACGGACGGACAAATATGATTAAATCGCTTTAGAATTTGATGCTGATCAAAAATATATTTATTTTGGGTAGTTTGTAACGCTTCCTTCTGGGCAAACGTTTTGACAAATTTAACATACCCCTAATTTTTCGATGATCGCTATGACTCAATTTATAAAAAGCTGTTAACTACATTCATTTATTCGTCTTACAATTTACATTTACACTAACGAAATAATTTTTAATTTCATTTTATAAAAGTTTATTTAATAAAAGTGACAACACATCTCGTTAAGCCGAATGTTTGTTGAAATGTATACACATTATATGCATTAGCATTACATCGACATCGCGTGCATTGTACAATTTATAAACGTTCTACTCCGTTCGTAAAATATTTATTACATTTCATTATTGCTGAGATCTAGTGTTGAGAATTTGAATGGAATTTTATAAAATATCTCGTCAAGTTTTATTACAAATAAATCAAAAACGGTTTCATGCAACTATTCCCATAGTTTTTTATAATTTAAACTATTGAAAATTTTTTAACGATTATGATAACTGTTAAGGAGCGGAAGTTCTTTCAATTTCAAATGATTTTCTCATGCTTCGCAAGGCATAGACTATTGGTACGAAGTAAGGATACAAGTTTAATAAAATAACGGCTTATGAGGCATGGCCACGAGTCGCAAGATGGGTTGAATGTTAAGAGAGTACAGAGATCAAATTATTTTCTTTTCTTAATTTTTTTTCTTTTTTGCTACAAAATTTATTCACATCTTTGCTTGCTTCGCTTACGTTAATTGGTTGTGCCATCAACAATTTTACTCATGCATACCACATGCGCCATAACAGATTGTTTAAGATTGTTTAAGAAATAATCCCAAGGACTCTTTTCCTTCGTTTCCTTTTCACATAGTTACTTGAGCATTTTTCGGCTGCACAAAAGCAGAAGAATTAAATAAACCTAAGTATCCGGCGAAACTGTCGTTTAGCCTAAATTTTTTCTACTGGAATCGTTGCAATTGTCATTTTCTATTTCTCGAGGCTTACAACACTAGCTAATAGCAGACCAAAGAAAAATATAATATTGGATGATAGATTTTCAGTTATGGGCAAAGTTAAATATCCTTAATCCGCCTGAGTGGTCGAGCAGGCAAGAGTTTCGAGTAGCAACTCAATGATCGCGGATTCAAATCTCAAGTGCGGTAGAGTTTTTAATAAAAGCCGAAAGCCTTAGATGCTAATGCTTTAAGACTTTAGTCTTAGAAATTATTTTTTGGCTAAATTTATAATAATAACAATAATAATAAATATCCTTACATTTCTTCTCTAAAGCCTTTCATTTTTTGCCATTCAACAAAAAGTCATAGGTCAAGCTTTTCAATGGCGATAAAAGAGACCCAATATGATAAAGATAGTTGGGAACGTTAAGAGATGCAAAATAAGCAATCATTAAAATAGTGCTGCGTGCCAGTTATGTCTGACATGAAATTATTTTCATTACCCCTGCATCTCAGTTATTCGTTTATGTGTTAATTTGCATAAAGTTTCCAGCATTCTATCAATTGATTGATTGGCAAAATGTTATGAATGAAAATTGAATTAAAAAGAGAAGAAAGAAAAAAACGAAAACAAAAACAAAACAATAAATGTGAAACAAAGTAATTCGATCAACTATTGTGTAAAGTTCAATAATCCACAATGTTCATCGACAGGTATTATTATTAAAACTATTATAAAAAATGAATATCTCATCTGTCGATTGTGTTTACAAAATTATAAAATGATCGATGCATGCAAGCAAGCATTTCATTTACTAACGAATATTAACTGAAGAGAAAAAGAAGATTATTAATGAAAATATGTCTGCATATAAGTAAGTAAATCTGTTGTCATAATAAACACATGCAACCGGTTTTATTATTGTGTAATTAATTTAATATTAATATTAATATTTCGCGTAAGAGTCAGGAATGAAAAGTAAATAGTAAGAGACGGAGAAAATGAGAAAAAAAGTTTTTTTTGAAGAAAATAAACAAAAAAAAAAAAAAAAGAAGTCAAGATCAAGCCATCATATGTTACCAAGACATTGTTTCTTTTTGTGATTATGGTTTTTAAAAACAAATTTACTTTACCACTGACCTTGACAATAAAAATTAATCATTAAATGAATACAGCTAAGGGAGATCATGTAATTTTAATATCAGGTTTTTGTTTTTTTTTTTGCCTCCTATTAATAGGGGGATTTTTTTTTGTTTGTTTAATCTTTTAGTTACAAATGCGTCACATAGTTTATATATATCTATCTATTTACTTACCCGTTTTGACATGGGACCATCTGAGTAATCTACTGGTTGACATTTTAGATTATAATAATTAAGCCAACCGGCCATTAAATGCTGAAAATAATTTAAAAAAAAAAAATTAAATTGAGAATAATTGAAAATAGATGCATGAAGAAGAAGAATAGATCAATAATTGGGAAAGAAGGAGTGAAGAAGGATATCCGCCTTAAGACTACTCTGGGATACGTATGCAAATACATTAAAAAATAAACTAAAAATATATTTTATTGCTTTTAAAGAAGTTCTCGTAGTTTGGGGTATAATTAATCCAAAACTTGCTCGAATCCTTGGGCATAGCTCTCATAGATTGATTTACATATTGCGGCGAATTATTTTTTTATTGACTTAAACTATTGACTTCTTCGTTGTGCCAGCCTTGGCTTTGAAAACAGAAACAAATCAATTGAAACCAGTGTTTGAGCTTTTGTTGAAAATCCTTGCATGGTGAAGGAACAATAAATGAATCGTCTCATAATCATTCTCATTTATTTAAAACCCTTGCAAACCTCAATGAATGCAACTCTGCGACAGTATCTTGGATGAACTTATAGGAATTGTATGCCTGTGGAGAGGGTCTCGTGCATTCAGGCCGGAGCACAATTAAAATCTCTCGATCTCCTTTAAATGCTTTTAAGTATGCATAAGCCTACGGTTGTGACGTGAATTTTTTGCTGGAGTTTGTCTGCACTAACTAACAGTGATTCTACTAATCAAATGTCTTATAAGTCGGACACTTACGGCATAAATTTATGTTCAAAGAATTTCTTTAATGTCGATATCTTAGGACACTTTAAAATGATTAATAACAACTGCAGCTTTAAATGTAAGGAGTGACAGATTATTCTCGAATTCGTAGCGGTATCTTGCTTCCTACAATATGGAGCCATTATGCTCACTCTATATAATGATAGCTTCTATGCGTTTTATGCCATTTTATGAAATGACACATTCTAAAAGACTGTATGGCTCAAAGTACTGTATGACGCAAAGTACTCTGCTTATTGTAAACGCATCATTTGGCCGGTAAGAAGAATTTTTTGCATCAATTGATGAACTTTAAAATCTGATCGATTAAGCTTAGAACTATTACAAAAATTTATCTTTGCAAATTTTTAATCTGAAGATTTATCGAATACAAATAAAGATAAGCAACGTCCATGATGCGTACCTATCTTTCGCAAAATGCTTGATAGTTATTTCTGGTCTTATACACGGATTGACAAAATTGAAGCATTTCCTTCCCTTAATATATAGTGTTAATCTTAAAGATACATATGTACATATATCTATTTAATAGAACTCTTAATTACCTCATAAAACATATACGCACTTAGCGCCACCTGCAGGGCGTTATAAACAATAAGGGTGCGTTTTAATTGAAAAGGTTTACGGTTTTGCATATATAAAGGGCCCAATACAAGAATCCAGGCTAAATACATGATAACCAAAGCAACCGTGTAGAGCGGATGGTCCATTAAAGGGAAGCGGTTCGCTCTAGGATCTGAAAAAGCAAAAAGAGAAAAATTAATGAAAATGAATTATATTTTATTCGTAGTTAAGTAAAATAGATTGTAGAAAAAAAATATTAACGAGAAAACACTGAGATCTAAACTGTGTATGAACTTATTAATTTTTTTTTTTTTTATATTTTAATCTTATTATCATAATTATTAAAATTAATTTAATCAGATAAATAAATCCAAACGATTTTAACGATTGATTGGTATATCTGTAGAAAATAATGCATATAGATATATATATGTATATATGTATATATACACCTGTTGCGTGTCTATCCATATGTCTACACACCTACATATATATGTGTGTGTATACATCTACATATCTATAGACAGTTTTTTTACCAACGCACTTTCAATTATATTCAAGTAAAACCATCCCGCAACTACTTAGGATAGGCTCTTATTGATCATGTCTTCTCTCCTCGAATGAGTTTAGGTATTCGGATATTGTTTTTGTCTGCCTTCATTTCGGAGTATGTCCAATTTCTTTCAACTTTCTATATGTCTTAAAAAGATATAAACATGTCCAAGCCGGACGGACGAAAACTGTGTGCTCCACATCATCATTTTTGGTGTACCGCAGCTCGCTTGCATACGTTATCGTATCTTGTAGATTAAAACGGCAGAGATAACTCGACAAATTTCTGTGTTCTATGTACTTCTTCATGTTTCTTTCCCATCCACTGTTCCATACTTGGGAGCAAGACATCAATTCATCGTCCTTCTCAGTCGTTTTTCCATCGTGTTGCCAATCTTCGCTCTATCGGATAATTGTTTTTAATTTGCAGATATCATCATTACTTTGTTTCTTCCTCTCGTGGAAGGATTTATATCTATATATATTTACAAACGTACACATCTATTTGCCTGTATTCCTATGTACCAACGATATATAGCTATTGTATATATCTAGATATTCATATGCTCATATATCTCTAAGGCCATATATTACTATATATGTTTTTTATGAACATTACTAAGGCGCACTGTCAACTGGTGGCCCTATAAATTTTGGAAAAACATTACCATGGCCCTCTCATTTGTCTGGTTTTGCCACGAACAGTCCATCTTTTTTCCATTTTCAGTGTGGTACACCGCTTGTCTATCTTACTATGTACGTGTCTATAGATTTTCTGTATGGAGATGTACCTATTTTTTTCGCTTGATGTTGTCTTTTAGTTGGGTTTTGGACATTTCGCATGAGCCGATGTATAAAATTCAAACGCAGATGTATGGATTAAGGTTCATTGTCCTATCTTCATTTTTCGACTTTGGCAATTCGGTTAATTGATGGGCAGAGAAAACCCTTTAGCATGTATGCATCCATGCTTAAAAAGCTTCGCATTCTTATATCTATCAAAGATATATATATATATATATATATATCTACATATGTATGTATAGAGAATGATAAAAAATATTAACATCTTTTACCTAACGATAATAAGTGCGATAGTGTATAGCTTGGAATCTCACGTAATTGATTTCACAGCAAAGTGTATTCGGTCTCTATGAAAAACGTGATGTAAGAAATCGTGATGTAAAAAAATAACTAAAACAACACAAACATAACACAAGTACTAATAATTTAATGTTGATGCATTAAGCTTTTATTACGAAGATGTAAACAAATAAATAGTGAATTTTTTCTCGATATATCCGATAAATGTGGAGAACGTTCTCAGAAGACCTTGAAATAGTGGCAAGTTTTTATGCGATCTTTCTTAATAGGTTAAAAGAGGCTGATCCATATTCAAATGTCAAAGATTTATAAAAATTCGAAGCTCTTTGACATTATTGGGACTTAATACACTATATATATATATATATATATATATATATATATACGAAATTGTTCTGCTGGGAGGGGATCGAATCTGGAGAAAAGACAAAGCACAAGAAATAAAAAGGTACTGAAAATATTATATATGTTTATGCCCTACACCACCGCGAATTTGTTGTTGTTATTTCAGTAGGTACTTTTCTAATAACCAGTTGCTGCGTCCTCGAGCCAGGAATGTATTGTGCAGGTCTTTTCAGTTAAGGATTATGAAAGTTGACAACTTCTTGCCGACAAATTGTTGTTGTTATTTCGACTCCCTTCTTTATTTTGTAACTTCTTCGAACTGCATTAGCTTAAGTTACTTGTGCTTAGTCTTTTTTCCTCAATCAACCAAAAGTCTTTACAAGTTTTCTTAGTTGCTTAACGATAATTCCCACGGTGACAAGTGGAGTAAAAAACTCTTCAAACCTCTTGAAAGTCTAAGTTTAAGAAAATACGTTAGTTTCCTTCAACATTTACGCAGTTAGTTAGTTAATTATTTCACTTTACACGTTTATCAATTTTAATCTAGAAGAACACAAAGCCCCCGCAAAAGTAATTAAAAAAAAAAAAATAAATAAATAAATTGTTGCATGAAGAAAATGGTATTCAAGGCGGACGGAATTCGTATTAATTTGTTTTAAAAATATTTCTTTGTTCTATTTATAACGGCATAGTTTGCTATTTAAGTCTTTCGATTTGTGGTAAATATCTCAACCAAAGTGAAAGAATATTGCATTGTCGCATAAATATTATCGACAAATCGAAAAACAGATACTTAATGTCGTACCGAGTAAAATATAAAAATCATAATAAACTACATAAGTAATGAGAATAAATTAGTTAGTTAACCAAGAATCAAATGTTAAAATGTTAAAAAAAAAAAATAAATAAATAAATAAATAAAAAGTAATAATAATTAAAAACAAGTTATAAAAATAAAGGGAAATCCACCCATAATGTAAAATAAGAAGTAAAAGAATTCTGCTTTAATTTGAACCATTTTAAATAAATGTATGGTTAATGTGCTTGTTATGCTTGTTTTTTTTAATTATTTATTTTTTTTTTTTTATCAAGGCGTCAATACATTGTTGCTGAGTATTTTTATGTTCTATTTTACGAGTAATTATGGCTAAGTGGAATGAGAAAAAATTTGAAATATTTGTCAGATGGTATTGCCGTTAATCAAAAACATTCATCTCATTCAATTTGTTTCCTATGTTTGTTGATAAATTTAAGTTTGTTTCAAATATGAAAAAAAAAAAAAAAAAAAAACAAAAAAAAACAAAAAAGTAAACAAAAATTCATTGACTTAACACTTACGTAGATTTTGTAATTATAAATTTTACGATGCAGGCATAAGTTTAGTGTAAAGGTTTTCAAAAAAATTGTTTTTTTTTTTTTTTTAATTTAACACAAGTAAAAGCATTAAATTAACTGCATTTTTATTTAGGTGTCAGTAATTGTTTCATTAAATAGCGTAAATGAAAGAAAAAAAAAAAAATTCCAAAAATTATTGCTTCACATAGAGATCCATTAAGCTTATAATATATATATATATACATATATATATATATATTTATATAGAATATTGCAGTCAAGGTCATTGTCATTATTCGCATAAATAGTTTTGCATGTTTAGTAGCAGCTAATGTTAGTCAGCAACTCTGTCAAAGAAGACTCATATAATTCACATAACACATTTATTAGTTGTACTGCAAATATTACAAGTATAATATTAAGATATAACATTAACATTATGACATTATAATATTTTTTTAATAATGATATTAAACGTAAGAAAATTTTTTCATGAGTCAGTTTTCAAAAGTTGATAAAGCATAGAAATAGGCTTTGGATGTCATGACAAGATGATCTGATTAGAAAATCAATTTAGATTCCAACCAATCTGTTCTACTTGTCTAACTGTAAACAATGAAAATTTTTTTTTTTTTAAATTTTTAAATTAAGAAAAACTAAAAAAGGGCTACGCTAGGAGCTAAAAGAGGGATTTGTAAGTTTCTTGCCTAGCAAAGGCACGGGTAACTAATTTTATGGTAGAAGGAAGTTTTGGGCGGTCCTATAAAGTTCTTGCTCACAGACAAATTCTCAATCGATCTATGTATGTCAGTCCAACCGTCCATGTGTTATAAAAATTCGTTCGGCCGGTCAGAAAATAAAGAGGTCAATTTCAAAGTTCGCAAAAGCACTCTAAGCTCTTGCAGAATTTAATGGTATCCAAAATTGGTCAAATTAGTCAAAGTACCTATAGTAACCCAGGCCTAACCTAAGCAAAGATCATCATTGTTTTTTAAAAGAAAGAAATCGGTTTTTTCTTTTCGTACATTACCGGTGTAAGCATGTAAGAATACGACTAGGTCCAACCAATATTCATAGAGTATCGAAATTTCATTATTATTTAATTTTTAAAAAAACTTATCGGTATAAAATATTCGACCACAGCCAGTCATAAATTTTTTAAAATGTTTGAATTGCTTTTAGTCACATTCACTTGCTTATCTTCGCATCTTGCTCTATAAAGACGCAAGTGATAGTTTCCGAAAACTATGGGTGCAATTTGATGAACGTAATGACCTTTTAAATCACTGACTAATTTCATAGGATCTCTTTTAAATTATAAAGACATATATAGGTTTTTTTCTTTTCAGTTACGAATCCGAAGGACGGAGTAGACTTGTAACCACTTTGTCATTATTACACAATTGTCTTTGCAGCTGAAACTTTGTGAAATGTGCGTATGTCTTCGATTCTGTCTAAGGGGTTTTGCCTTTACAACCGGTTGTATTGTTTGTATGCATCACTTGTTTGTTTGTCCGTTCATTATTATTTCCGTCTCTTTAAGTGTTTGCTGTTTGCCGTACATTCGCTCGTTTACTCATTCGTTTGTTTGTAAGTTCTTTCGTTAGCCCATCCAACTTTCTGCATGCCTGGCATACTCCATTTATGGTCATTCAACTATCTACCCATCTTTGGCTTTGTGCTTTTAAATCCGTCCGTTCGTACATTTGTTTCTTTTTTTACATACGCTTATCTGTTGCAACATCCTTTTGTTTACACATTACTTTCTAGGCGCTGAAATACATTTAAAAAAATTGAAACAATAAAACAAGTAGTGGGATAAGGCCCATCATTAAATATTTTACACCACTTCGTTTAATGCAATGATTAATGAAAGGATTTTTCAAGATACGGCTTTATATGGGGGTGGGTCAAAAATGTGATTCGATCCGAAGCATTTTGCAAAAAGCATGCGTCCTTGGTCCAAAAATTTCAATTTAACAATTTGCTCAAATTTGTAGGTTGAACACGAAAAAAAATAAAACCGTCCGACAGACGGACAAATAAACTGGCGAAAGCTGGATCTCCTGGGTTTTACATACGTGCGCATAACATACGTGCGCGTTAACATAACTTGGCACCACAGATGGCTTGTAGGATATAAAAATGAATTTCAATATAATTTCACTTATTATATTTGAATTTTATAAATGATATCGTTTTCGATCGCAAATATTCTTTGTCAAATTAATGTGTTTTACTTGAAGGCTTGAATAAAGCTTTGAGTTAATATATAGATTTACATATTAGAGTCGCACGATTAACTTGACTACACAAAAATTCAAAATAAAAAGTACCGGGAATAAGTTAATTAAATAATAGCTCATGCGATAGGAAATTAATTTGATTATGTAAATGGTCCTTTAACAACAACAACAACAACAACAAAAATCAATCATTTCTTCTAAAACGCCGCAATTGCTTTAAGCGTTTAGTCGAAAAGAACGCTATTGATCGCGAGCAGTTTTGCGTGACTAATTCCTTATACTTTTTGATTAGTCCTTATTAAGCTATTGCATGCTTTATTCTAGTCAGTGTGAAATGTTTATAATACGCGTCTTAAGCGACTGACAATTTAATTAAAATTTATCACAATTCAAAGCTTAACTCGACGTTGAATACGTCATGTGAATAATTCTTTTTTTTTTTATTATTTTTTTCTTCTAATATATTATACGAATTTAAAAGATTTTGTATTTTTACAAAAATATTTCAGAATAGTTTCCTTTTAAAGCGCTATAAACTATTTGAACTTGTTCTAAGCTTTGATGAAAAGTTTTTTTTTTTTTATTTATTTTGTTTATTTATTTATTATTTTATGTCTGTTAATTTACTGCGATTCATTTTTTATTGTCACAACAACAAAAATATTCATTAATAATTTTCTAACGCCTTAACCTGATTAAAGCGGGAGTGATTATATAGTGATATTTATTCAAATGTAAATGAAACTGAATATCTTTTTAGAGTTAATCCGGTTGACAGTGATTCCCCAAATAGTGGAAAAATGCAAACAATAATAATAGGGACTTGAAATTCTTATTATTGGAAGCTCTATGTAGATAAACATATTTGACAAATCGTCCATCAAACGCTTTCTTGAAGTTTTTGGTCGATTCAAGCATCACATAATTAAGATTTAGTTGTGGTGTCTTTGTTGGTTTGGAATACTCATGCAAGTAAGTATGGAAAAAAAATATATAGATAGATCTACTGTAGATTTGTTGATTTGTGTATTTCCCAAACTAAAAACTTAAGATCAAATTTTTGAACTACGGCAAGAGAGAAAAGCGCTCACCATCTTTCTTTTTAAAGCGCGAAAATCCCCTGACGTATATAGAGTTTTTGCTATATATAGCGTTCACGAAAATCTTTTCCTCCACTCGCACTTCCTACTCAATGGTCCCCATACTAAAAGTTCATATCAGTTATAGTACGATTTTAAAGATAATAAATAACGGAATAGAAACGCGGTTCTAATTGTGGATTTCTGAAATTCTGAAAATTCTATATGATAGTAGCATTCAGGTAAACATTTTTATCGTCTAAGTTAGTTTGTGAAATATAAATATATATATATATAAAGATTTAGCTTAATGTATGTTAGAGATATTAATTTTATTTTTTTTTTTTTTTGCCAATCTCAGAAATGGTGGTAGGCAAGCCAAGCCCATTTTCAAAATTGATCTTTCGCTTTCAGCTAAAGTTTTTCGCTAAGTTTGAGCGTTCGAAGTGACTGCATATCGTTCGAAAAGGGCAAAGGCAAGTAACTGTTGGTTACATAAGTTACACGACCCGTAGACAAATGCGACAGACGGATGGATAGATGGACCTGCAGACAGAGTAGGAAACGGTTGGACAGAAACGACTGACCGTGTGGACGGGAAGAGGAATGGGCAAATAAACGAACGGATAGATGATGCTCTCATCCATTATATCTACAAGACCTCTGTAACCATGTAAGCAGAGTTTACTGCCGTTGGAGATGGAATACCTCTCCTTAGAATAAAATATAAGCAAGCTTTGTTGTACGAGGAGTAGCTCTATTTAAAAGCGACGTAATTTGTTTATCAAGTTCCTATCTCAGTCTTGTACGAGGAGTAGCTTTCCTCCTCTACTTAGGAACGATGTACTTTCTGTATCAAGTTTGCGATTGGGTTCTTATAGCAATGAAAGAAGGCAAGTGGACAGATGGACACGCCACGGATGATTAGCTCTTTGTGATATAAAAGAAAAAGCGGTCCTGTACTCATTCGAATCGATAGGTATAAAAATCAAAAGGTAGAGGCAACCCAAGATTTTTTATTGGGATGAAAAGCTTTCCTATTCAAAATTCTTCCAAAAGACAATTTTGTTTTTCTAATAGAGTCGCATTGCACAAGAGTTCCATTTTCTTTTCAATTGTCTAATTTATTAGACTTACGCCTTTGTCGTTAAGCTCAATATTTCTTAGGTTAGGTGAAAAGTTATTTTACATTCACTTACCGCCATATTCATCCTCTATAAAGTAGTAATAACGTTGTATTAATCCTGTGAAATTCCTGCTTATAAAGTGCACTTTAAATTCATCTATAGCCAAATAAGCTAACTCTGTCGCAATATCAAAACCTGACGTTGTATTATGGTAATTCATGTTGTAATAATTTTATGAATATATACACATAGATGAATATGAACAGGTAGGTAGGTAGGTAGGTAGGTAGGTATATATTACAAATTTTAATATTTGTAAACCACACAATTTATTAATTTTCATTTATATTCAAACTTAAGAGCTTACGCTAACGATGCGATTTAATTTAAAAGGAACTTTTCAATTGAAAAAGAAACACAAAAAAATAAATAAAATTTAAAAAAAATTGTATATATCATCAGTAATCGGATTATTGTTTTTTTTTTATTTTTTGGCTTCAACTTAGTTATTTTATTATATTATTTACTTAGTTGTAATAATTTTTTTTTAATTTTAAGTTTTCATATTTTTTTATTATTATATTTTTTCATATTTTCATAATTCCTTTTGTTTAAAATGTACTTAAAAAAAAAAAAAAAAAAAAAAAACACTATAAACTTAATTTCACATGTACGTCTGTGTCCTATATTTAATGTATATTAGTAACGTTTTAGAAAAAATTAAATGATTTATTTTTGTATTTTTGTTATTTTGTATTTTTGTATTTTTTTTTTGTTTTTTAAACTAAACCGTACTGTATGAAATTTTATGCTCAACTGATTCCTGAACTTCTCAAGCTGCATAAAATATAAAATAAGTTTTCAATCTACACCAAAGACACACACGCACACACACACACACACACACGCATGCAGCCATTCATTCGATCAGCGCTTATACCTATGCAAACACTAAGTTACTATAAAGAAATTAAATCAAAAATGGTTGTTGTTTAGGGTTTATCGGTTATATATCGTTACATGCATATGTATAAGTGAGATAGTGGCTAAAATGACAACAATCTTCTGTGTTCGATAACACATACACAACGGAACAATGTTATTGACTTTAATTGTAAACAATGACGTATTAAGTTAAGCTTAATTTTTACTAAGCTTTAACTAACAACAAACACAAGCACACGAACTCAGTTTTTAAAAGAAGTTCTTTACAAGTAATAGAAGAAAAGCACAAAATTGAAAAATTTTATGCCATAGTTAGTGAATTCGTGAAACAGCTTTTAATTCTTTATTTTGATAATAAAGCTATTTATGATACTGCAGTCGCTAACCTAGACGGTCACAGAAACACTTAACGGATTCAAAACAATAGATTATGGTCTTGGGAAAAATGTGAAAAGAGAAACTTTTCTTATTATCAGTCAAAGATTTAAAGGACATAACAGAAAATCGTTGCTGCAAATGTCAGTAAGTCAAAGTTATGATTGTCCCCAAATATAAACAAATAACACACTCTAAGTAGGCTTTTAAAAAATAAATAAAAACATAATAGTCGGGTAAGGCCTATTCATTATGAATACTTTTCATCCTCAGGCCAAAACATCCAAGTGTAACACATTTCGTTAAAACATTTCAGAAATTATGATTTGATTAGAAAGCCGGACCGACAGACAGACAGACAAGCAGGCAGATGGACAAACAAGCTTAAGTTGATGCAGAAAACGTTTTCGGACGTAATATTTGAGTCTATCTTAAGCCCATCTTGATTTTACATACATTCATATAGGCTTAGTATACCACGACCGCACCTGTCGCGAAGTATAATTAGTATCTTGGCATTCTAAATGTGGATATGTAAAGTTTCATTGGAATGGCAGCACTTTCCATGTGAAAGTTTTATTAGGGAAAATCAAATTTTTATGGCATCTAGTATGGAATATAGATTTTCTATATAAATTTGGAGTACATGGATCGCATTTTCATATCCTCTACCTATATAACAATTGCCACGGGAAGTAAGCTTTTCTATGGCAATAAAATGTCAAATGTTTGGTGCGTAGCGATGAAAATAATCAAAGAATTGTATTAGTAGTCAATCAGTTGACTTTGCCTTACCACGATATTTCAATTTTTTCTTTTCTATATACTTTTCAGTAAGTAACGATAACAAAATTGTTAATTAATAATTATTAGCCTTAATGTGTTGTGTATATAAAAATAGGATATATATATATACAAACATACATATATATATATATATATATATATATATGTATACATGGTGGTACGAAATTGGTGACAACTTGTTTTTTTTGTATTACTGTGAAAATCTTCGTTAGAATTAATGGTTTTTCTTTTTTTGGAAGCAAAAAAAAAAAACGAGAGAGCCAGAGCGAGCTTACAATTATTGTATCGATATTTTCTTAAGCTTTCGTATAGAAGCTGCAATAAGGAAATGCATGGAAATATTTCTTGAGTACGTTTGACTTAATAATAGAGGAAATAAGACAAAGCTAAGTTAACCTTAACCCCCAATTAATGATCTTCTTCTACTTTTCCATCGCGTCAAATTCAATTAATAGGATAATTGACGTAATTTCTGTAAGTTTGTTTACAATTTTATTGTTTGCAATTACGTTAAACACTCTATTATTAAGAAACCATTTAAAATTTTCTAATTTATTAATTTTCTTACTTTTCCCTCTTGAGTATACTAAAGCCGAGTATTACGATTGGCATTACGTTTAAATAATAAATAACAGTAATAATAATAAGGAGGAAATATGCTCATATAAAAGCAATGATTTCCGTTATATTAACGGGGGCTTAAGTACATTCTTTGTGATGCAGAATTAGTACAATTAATACAATGCATAATTAATGGAAGAAAATATGATATACGGTAGTATTCTAAGAGTCTCTTGACGTCACAAACCAAAAAGTTCAACTAATTGATTGAACTTAAATGATATCGTATTTGATGGAAAAATATTTTATATGATTTTGAGTAGAATTGACGCCAAAGTCTATTATATCAAAAGATAAAGTATCGAATATTACGCTTCCTAGTGTAATAAGGGAGAGTAGCGTTTAATGTTCAAAAAGTCAAATTTTCACTTCCAAGCCAAATATACAGATGGATGGACAGATGGAATCTAACAACTATTTGAATTGGTTCAGAACTTGATGTTGATCAATAATATTAATATGATTTACAAATATTTTGAAACTTCCATCTGGCTGTTGTAAGCCTTTCAATAAAATGAGTATGCTTGAACATTCGGTGGTTATATAAATACTATACTCGCCGATTGAAAAATCTTCAAAGCTTGAGAAGTGATTTGCTTTAACTAAGCTGACATTTGACAAAGCAAATCATGTAATTTGCGTCTTTAGAAAACTGCCTTCATTTTCATGCCTTCGAATCACTCTATCTCTTCACAGACAGTACATATTTTTATATCTGCTAATGCAGGATAGACAACACTTTTCATTTTAACATACCATGTGCGACACTGAAACGGCGACGTGCCATAAGATCAATACGAGTCTCTTACGTTTCTCGATTTACACTATGTCAAGATGTCGTGGAATGCTTTCATTATGAGAGATGAGGATATGAATCAACAACACCAACGCCTGCAAAGTTGAAGCAAGGTTGAAAGAGCTGCTCGTAAGTTATCGAAAGGTCAAAGTCATGTTTCGACTATATTCTTCAATTATAATGGCCTTATGCATTTCTTCCATCAGAAGAATATTCATCCCTGCCAAAGAGTCGTGATTTTGGAGTGATAGAAACGTCAACCGATTTCGGTAAGGATCCGGATTATTAAGCGAAACTTTGGAGGAAGAAGTTTTAAAAAGAAACGTTAATACCGATTGGGAAATTTTCTTTGTTTGTGTGTACGTGTGTGTGTTAGATAACAAAAATTGAATATCATTTTATTTTTATTAGTAGAAACAAAGACTGATAGTAGTGAAGCATGACCCATTTAATTAACGATTATAAAAACTTATTAATGTTGAAAGTGAGGCAAGATTTTATCTCTTCTATCCAGCACTGTGAACGGGTAATAAAGTATTATATAATGCATCTAATTCCACAATTAATGCTTAACAGTACTTCTAAATTTATTGTAATAATATCTCGCAATAACAAAAAATCGACTTGCTCCACTTTCAAAATAAACGGCTTATTTATTTCCCATCTCTTAAGTTGCGTTTATAAGTATTTTGGGTATATTAACTAATTCAAATAAATAATTCTTTCAATGTCGTCATACGTTTAGCGTCAGTTCTTATAGTCTATTGATCTACCACCAAGAGCAGGCGTGGGCAATCGCCGGAGGACGGCGAGACCGATCGGCCTCGTTTAAAATTTCACATAATTCAATTTGTTCGCACATCACGATGCTGCAAATGGATTGTATTTGTCCTTACGTCCGGCATTGCTACATAATTTGTTTAAGTGTTTTTTGTTTCGTTCCTTACACCAATAAAGGAGTGATTTACAAAGATGGAAAATTGATGCACGATGCTGCAATTTTTAATAATAGTTGAATCTTGCTCTGCCCCCCCTCGCTGTGATATGAAGATTTAAATTTTTTTTTGGCCCGTCAATGAAATACGTTGGCTAACCCTGACATGAGCAAGATGTATCGATCGGCTTTGTAAGTTTTGTATAAAGAAATAGGATTTTTGTTGTCATAGAGCAATAAAAGGTACCAAGCTCTGCGTATGCTTTCTATTGGAAAACAGTTTCAAAATTTACTTTTAGCTGAGAAATGAAGCAATTTGCGCCCACATTTTGCCATTGCCCAAAAGCAGTCTTCACAGCATTAGGTAGGTATTTTCGTTTTGTTGAATTCACTGGACATCACGGTGCCAATAAAACGCAAATCGGTCCATTCGAATGTACTCATAATACCGTGAAATTTCGCGGCATGGACAGACGAATTATACATAATTTCATAATAATACATCAAAATTTTAATGTTTTATGCTTTTCAATTTACCTTACGGTTAACTAAGATGAAAGAGTATTCTCTGTGGGTTTTGTATTTCATGTTTAGTTGCGTAACACATGTTTAAACAATATAAAACCTAATTTAATTTATTTTAATTAGTTGTTATAATTTCGTTAATAATTAAATGTGACATTTAACAAATAGCCACGCGTGTGATCTGTTGTTGTTGGTCTTATATGTAACATAAATAAGCGGCTTTTATTTTATTATTTTTATTATTATTATATTTTTTTTTTTTTTTTTTTTTTTTGCTTTAACTAATTGTTGCATTTATTATTTATTATGTATATGCGTGAAGGCCTTAAAGTAATCTAGAGAATGTTATCATTTTAGTAAATTGATTTCGATCTTTTTCAAATTTTGATGTGCGCAAGCATGCATACTGCAAGCAGACAACGATGATTATGTATTTGTTAAACAT